AGACCCAGTATATGTGACAGGTAGTACTTGAACCCCAGCTTTCCTGGCTCCAGGGGCGGCTTCGTCCCCACTAAATCACATTGCTTCTCATAGAGGATCTTATTAAACTGATCACAGTGTTCTACTTTTAAAGAGCTTTCTTTTTTCAGTGCTTTTACTTTATATCTTAGAGTACATATTGATATAGTACATAGGTCACCTGAGTTTTTTGCCCATAAAAATTCCATGCAGTTGCATGGAGGAAAGTTGGGGTAAAGGACTGGTTCCGCAACCATCAAGTGCTTCTAGCAAGGTGAAGGAAGCAGGGCCTGACGTAGAGGTTAATCCCAACATAGGGCTAATTGCTTTTTACCTTAAAAGTCAACTTTTGAGTCAGCATAGACAGCTTTGCATTTTGCTTTATGCAGGATCTCAGTCCCTGTTTGGTTACTTCCTCTGTTTCTCATCTTTTTTTATACAAAACAGGAAGAAATATAAAAGGTCATCAAAGAACTTCATGTCCTTAAGAATGCAGATTTTTAAAAATGATTTTAGTGTGATCATCAACTTTGCGTGCATCATCCCTGTTACAGCTGAAAACTGATCCTAGCAAATGTTTTTCTGTGTAGACTCTGGGATTGAATGAATACTTACACTTTTGTAGTGCTTCTCACTTTACAAAGTATTTTCACAAGCAGTATGTTAATTGATCTCATCCTCACACAACCCCACGAGGTGTGTAAGAAGAGTTAATGATACCCATTTTCTAGATGAGAAACCACAGGCTCCAAAAGTTAAGTGCGATGCTCTAGGTTTCAGCACCATTAGAACCCAGGGCTCCTTCTAGCCCAGTGTTCTTTTCAAGATGTTATACTTTTGCCTTTCTTGTGCCACCATTCATCAAACACCACAAGTGTAGAACACAATGATAATTCTTTTCTTGGGGTTTATTTTTTTTTTTGTTAGAGTGAAATCCAATTAAGGACATTGAACTCTTCCTCTAACATTGATTTATGTGTGATTGCATAGATTCAGTCCGCCACTAAAACTTTTGCTAGAGAAAAGTATCTGACAAACCAGGTCTTCTCAATCTTCATTTAAAACAGAAACAAAAAAAACCCTTGAAGATTAGAGTGTCCAAAAGATCAGATTTATTGTTACTCTAGGTCTCTAACATCATACTGGTAACAAACTGGCAAGTTAGGCATCTCTTTGTTGTTGATTTGAATAGTTTCACAGTGATCATATTTGTATTTTATTGTTTTCTTTGTTTTCTCTATGAAATTTGCTGATTAACCAAGATTTTCTTAGCAAACTGTTATATTAGAATTTTTCCCTTATGCTGCTAGAACTGGGCTTCTGAATTTGACACTCTATCACCAAATTCCATACATTATTGCATGCTCAGAAAGAAAAATTGTATTATATGCCCACTGGTTGTTCAGTAAATTGAGTGACTGATACTAAATGTGATACTTAGAATTGTGTGATAATCCATTTTTTAAGAAATCCATTTGTTCTTAAAAATTTATGTAACTGATCACTTAAAAATCTATATACCATATCTAGATTTATGACTTATTTGAGATTTCTTTTCAAATATAAATGATTCAGTGAATCTTGAAACTTATCCCTTCCCTAAATTTCCTTCTAGTTATAAAAGTTTACATCTGTACAAATGTATGTGTATACATATATGTGTGTGTACAAATACATAAAATTAAGTGTAAGAAATCAGAGACAAGAGAATTCAAAAGGTGCCAGGGAATGAAGCTGTTCTCCCTACTCTCAAGGAGACAGTCTCTAACCTTTTAACAGTAGTCCAGCATTGGCTTGGAAGTGTACTCTCCTCCCTGCCTTTGTGTGTATCTCATTTCTTTTTGTTGCTTTTTCTTCAAGTCTCTCAAATTAATTTCCTACTAATTGCAGTTACCTACTTCCAGGATATGAGTACCTATAAGATACAAATATTGCACAGTGCCCTGGGCTTAGGTGCAGTGAACTCTGTCATCTCCCATGATCATGGAATGAGGTGTTCTCCATGAATGTATGTATCACACATCGTGCGTTGATTATAAGTTTTAAAAACAAATTAAATATAGTAAAATATGCTTACAAGCATAATGAACATAATTTAATCCTTCTCTGATGATTCAGAAGACACTAGGATTTTGCAGCACCTTGGTCATTATTATGAGCGTCAAATGATCTTCATATTATAAAAAAGAGGCAGGTTGTTGTAGCAGAAAGATTCCTGGACTTGGAGCTGATATCCCTGAGTTCTAGACCTAGCTCTGCTTCTCATCTCTAGAATATCTTCTAGTGCTGAAATTTTCAGGTTCTGAGTCTAGGTGCTGGTCAGTAGGAGTCCTAGATCATAGGATGTCAGTTAAACCGACTCTCGATAATTGGAATGCCCACGTAAAGTTTGTCTATCAATAGATGGTATACCATCTCATTAAAGTCAAGATTTGTTTTCCCCAATGTGAAATTGAAACTTATATGTATAGGAATAAAATGTCTCTAAAATGTCAACCGTTTTCCCACAGGAACTATGATGATTACTTTGTGAAGGCACAGAAAGTGAGACGACTCATTGCTAATGACTTCGTGAAGGTCTTTAATTCTGGTGTGGATGTCTTGCTTACTCCCACTACCCTTAGTGATGCAGTGCCATACTTGGAGTTCATCAAAGAAGACAACAGAACCCGCAGTGCCCAGGATGATATTTTTACACAGAGTGTAAACATGGCAGGTGAGGCTAGGGGGTGGGGAGCAGTGCTCAGGTCTCCTAAGGCCTACTGACCTTCCAGTTTACGTCAGTTCGGTTTGTCTTTGGCTGCTCAGTCTAGTCCTCACCTTAGGTGTGAGGCATACTATTACCTTAGAAAAAGTAGATTTTATCATTGACAGTGCTCAAGTAAAACTGATAGAACCTTGGTGACTGAGTCAAGATCTAATCTAGCTGAAATATTTCAACTTTAATTTTTTTCCCTTTTGGAAATTAAACTTCTAATAAGGTTCTTGGGGAAATTAACCTTTCAGATCATCCTCAGTTCAACTCAGCAAGCATTTGTTAAGTAGCTGCTGTGTGCCAGGAATTATGTTCAGAGCTCAGAGTACAAGACAAAAAAGAAACAATCCCTGCCCTCAAGCAGCTTATATTCTGTTGGGCAGAAGCAACATTAGATCGTGGTTCTAAAACAAGAAAGGACTTCAGTGTAGTTCAGCTGTCTCCTTTTACAGATGAGGAAACCATGGTCCACCCAGGACAGTGAAGGGACTAGCTCAGTGTCAAATCCAGGTAGTGAAGTGTCAGAAGCAAAATATGAACCCAGGCCTTCTGCATCCAGATGCCGCGCTCTTGCCTATAACCCAGCACCTCCTGATACGTACATAGAAAGTTAAATAGTGCGTGTTTGTGTGTGTATACATATGTATGTTATACATGTATGTGTGAATGCTATGTATGTATAATATGAAATTTACACATATTGATATATATGTTTATTTTGTATGTATAAATATATGTCCTTACATAAATAGGTATTAATTTCTGAGAGAAAGACAGGGCTCAGGTTTAATATCAGGGACTACTGTTAACAATAGAATACATATTCAGAGGCCACAGTGGAAGAGTCGGGTACTTATTTTGTTTTTTTTTTTTTTAATGAAATTAGGGGCATAGAATAGCTTTAAAAAAATGAAACAGAACAACCTCTTGTTTCCTCCTGCTCAGGTTTGCCAGCTGTAAATGTACCCATGGCCCTCTCCAGTCAAGGTTTGCCAGTTGGGCTGCAGCTGATTGGACGTGCATTTAGTGACCAACAGCTTCTCACTGTTGCCAAGTGGTTTGAGGAACAGGTGCAGTTTCCTGTCATTCAGCTTCAAGAATTAGTGGATAATTGTCCAACTTTCTCTCAACACGAGAAGCTGGGTTTGGTTTCATTAAAACGGTAATGATAAAGACTTTTGTACAAATTCAAAATGACTTTGGAAGTATTAATACGCAAAATAATCATGAAGACTTTTAAGAAGTCATGTGATCTTGCTAAGTGCTTGTAATTGGATTTATTGTCAACATAATAATTCTAGTTATTATGGATTTACAAGTTGTTGATAAAAACTTTTCAACTGGTCAACATTTATTGAGTACACTCTCTGTCCTAAGCACTCCACAGTGAAGAGAGGGAATAAAAGGAGGCAATCAACATATATGTGAGATAGAGAGCAAATCAGAATACAAGCACACAAAAAACAAGACCCCTATAGCAGGCACAATGGTCTGGGGTCCCCAGTCTTTCCTCTGAGGAGGTATTTATACTCAAAATAATTAAGGCATGAAGACTTGTTTTTTAATACTTTTAAAAAAATTTATTTTGATTTATCAACAATCACTTGTATAAACTTTTGAGTTTTGAATTTTTCTCCCCCTCCCTCCTCACCTTCCCCAAGGCAGCACACAATCTGATATAGGATATATGTGTGTGTGTGTGTGTGTGTGTGTGTGTGTGTGTGTGTGTGTGTATACACATTCCTATTAAACATATTTTCACATTAGTGATGTTTTGAGTAAGAATTAGAACCAATAGGAGGAACCACCAGAAAGAGGAAACAAAACACAACAGAAGAAAAAAATAGCAAATAGTATGCTTCGATCTGCATTCAAAGTCCATAGTTCTTTCTTTGGATGTGAATGGCATTTTCCATCACAAAGCCTTTGGAGATGTCTTAGATCCTTGTATTGCTGAGAAGAGTTAAGCCTGTCAATATTAGTCATCGCACAGCGTGGCTGTTACTGTGTACGATGTTCTCCTGGTTCTGCTCACTTCACTCAGCATCAGTCCATACAAGTCTTTCCAGGTTTTTCTGAAGTTTGCCTGCTCATCACTTCTTATAGCGCAATAGTATTCCATTACATTCATATACTACAACTTGTTCAGCCATTCCCCAATTGACAGGCATCCTCTCAATTTCCAGTTCTTTGTCACCACAAAAAGAGCTGCTATAAATATTTTTGTACATGTGGGTTCTTTTCCCATTTGTGTGATCTCTTTGGGATGCAGCCCTAGAAATGTTATTGCTGGGTCAAAGGGTAAAGCATGAAGACTTTTAAGAAGTCACATGATTTTACTCAGTGATTGAAATTGGATTTATTTTCAGCATAATAATTCTAGTTATTATGGGCTTACAAATTATAAATAAAAACTTTTCAACTAGTCAACTTTCCCCGTGAGTTTCCAAGACTTATAGCATCCTTTACCACCATGGTTGTCTGTAGTTGTGAGACAATGTCCCTTGTCTGGGTGAAGCATGGTAAACTTCAAGCATCACACTGATTTTATCCCTTAAGTTATACAGAACATGTCTTGTCCATGCTGACTCCTCATACACTGCAATAATGTCTCATCTAAGAGATTAAATTTTGCCAATTTTACAGCAAGAGGAAAACATTAGTTCAGAGAACCAGTATGATGGAGCCAATCTCCATTTGATCTGTTTGTATTTTTATCATTTGAAATAAAGGATAATCGCTTTTCAAAGAACATCAACTCTGTTGATGCTACATTCCTGCTTAATCAGTGCTAACATTTTGAATCTAGAATTAGAAAGGAGAAACATTGTCTATTCTCACATAGTAATACCTGCCTACCATGAAATGATGCCTAATTTGTTTTTCTTTGTCTTCCATCACTAACCCAAACCTGGTCCATCATATCCTGCCAAGTCACTGTCTGGGAATTTAAGTGGCAAATAGTTTCTGTGGCTGAGTTAATTAAATCCTGAAATTGTTAGCAGTGTAGCTGCTGGAGCAGGACAGCCCTAAAATGAGAAGGTAGCTGCAAGTGTAAGATGAGTTCTTGGATAAGAAAAAACAAAACAAAAAAAGCAAATCAAAACTGAGGGAAGAATTGACAAGGCAGGCTTCACCATAGTGAAAAAATGTGTGATGACATCACAGAACTTGGCATCCTGCCAAGATTAAGTGGGAAAACTGGTGTTCCATGTTAGTCTGCTCTTGATGTCATCCAGAATCACTTGAAACTGAAGGGTGGGAGTGGTCAGAACAGACCGAAAGTTCCCTTTGTGTGTCAGAGGGATCTGAAGTCCTAGGTTACAAAGAGTGAATTTGGGCTGTCCATAAAATGTCTAAAAGAAAGCAGCAATACCGAGGATAAAGATACATATGGACAACATCTTATAATTTCTAAGTTTCAAGATATTTAGCAAAAAAGAAGGCAGGCAAAAGGTAGAAATGTATGTTACTCTCTTCCTTCAAAATAACGAAGCAAACATTTAGAGTTGAAAATCAACTTGGATTTTAAACTTTTCCATTAATTGTTTTTTTTTTCTCAGCATTGTGGCATTGCAGAGTATAGATCTGCAGCCAGGGCAGGATCAGTACCCAGAGGAGTAAGGAGTGATGTATAGCAGTAGCCTCCCAGCACACCAGCCCAGCCACAGCTGAGATGTAATTCATCCAACATCAGTGCTGCCTTTGGACTCAGAATTGGTGGGACTTATGCTATGTAGGAACTGACCTAAGTTGAGCCCATTTCCCCCAGAAACCAGGGTAGTATATAGGGGAGAGTATGCCCCTCAGGTATTAGGGGAAAATTTTGTACTTTGTTCTTGCTATATCTTTGAAGTAAATATCCTTTTATAAAAGCTACCCAGTCTTAAATGGGCAAGTGGAACTGGGACACCATTCACTAGCCCCTAACAATTGGTGGTGGGGAGGTACACTTCAGTTCTGGGAACTGTGTTTTAACACAGCCCCTCATTCCTGAATCCTCTCTCTCACAAGCCACCATGCACCCCAGTCAGTGATGAGGCAAATTTCAGTAATTCCAGAAGGGCTTATACGTTGTTGGCTTAGGTCCCAGAGTGATCATGGAGATTACCAAGGTTCTGTTCCATGTTTGATTACTAATAGCATGACTGGGCAGATCATGCTCTAAACTGGTCTTACAAAAATATTTCTCAAAAATCTTCGCACCACAAGAATTGCATTTGGGTGTGAAGTCCGTGTTGATCACATTGCCCTCTTAGAAATCCCAGTAGTATCTGCTGTTCTCTGTGCCATCAGGTGAAGAGAAAGTAGGAAACGTCTCAAATCTCAAGACAAATGGAGAGCTGTGGAAACCAAAGAAAAGGCATATACAAGAGGAAGTAGACTCCCCCTAGGTTGTTCATGCTGTTAAGTTTTTAAGCCACTACCTGATTCTTGTTAGGTCTTATGCCATTTTTTATTTACATTAATTATCCTCATTTTATCCTGTTTGTACCCATTTGTTTGCATGTTTCTTGCCCTATTAGGTTGTAATCTTGAGAGCAGGAACTGGTTTTTTGGCTTTAACAATAATAATAATAACTAGCATTTATTATCACTTTAAGGTTCGAGCACTTTACAAATGTAATCTTTTTTTATCCTCACAACAATCCAAAGAGGTAGGTGCTATTATTACCACCATTTTACATATGAGGAAAATGAGACAGCTATGTGACTTAGGGTCACACAGCTAATAAGTTTTGTAGGCAGGGTTTGAACTCAGGTTTTCCTGATCCAGGTCTAGCCCTATCTTCTACACCATGTAACAGCTAGGCAAATAAAATACTTAGAGTGCCTGTCACTAGTAAGCACTTAATAAATCTTGACTCACTGTTGACTGAAAAGCCCTGGATGCATCTTCATTTTCATAACAACAGTAAATGATTCATTTTTATCATTTGTCAAAAGTAGTAAGTACTGTCAATCCAATGAGGAAAGACCTCTTAAAGACGAATGAGTTAGTATTGATAAGTAATCTTTAGAAGTTACATATCCAAAAAGAAAATAAAATTAAAGAAATATTGTTCAACTTAAGAAATAAAAAATAAAAAAGATACATATCCAAAGACCCTTAGGCAAGCTCATGATGGTTTTGAGGTGTTAAGGCAAAATCTAGTTTCCATAAGAAAAATTTTGTTCTGCTTCATAGAAGAACTGGTGCCAGAACTGAGTTTAGAGGTACAGGTAGGGTTTTTTTTATTTATTTAATTTTAATTCAATGATCACAAATCTATTTTTTCTCCCTGTTCCTTCCCACCACTAGAAAAAAAAAAAGAAAACTTTGTAACATATATATGGTCAAGCAAAACAAATTCCCACAATGGCCATGTCCACAATATATATATCTCAGTCTCTACTCAGTCCACCACCTCTCTGTCAGGCCTGGTAGGTAGAGCATGTTTCAATGCAGGTATGATTTTAAAAGATAGAAATGATGGAGAAAGAATATTCCAGGAATAGGGGCCTTTATGATGCCTGGAGATGGCAAATAACACAATGAATTTGAGAACAATGGGAAACCTCTATCTTCACTTCCTATGTATGGATACTGTTGGATCCAACGAGGTTAGACTTAGGAACCTAACCAGAAATTAATGTAATTGGGCATTTAATGTACTTGATGAATAGATCAAGGCTGGCATAATAGTTTACTGGAGTTTAGTTCCTACAGTATTCTCTAGGAGCTTTAAAAAAATTTTTCATTTGATAACTTCAAAAATTGGTTCCCTATATAATGCCATGTATTTTATTCATTTAAAAGCCATTATTCTGAGGAGTGGTCCATAGGCTTCACCTGACTGCCAAAGAGGTCCATGACACAAAAAAGATTAAGAATCCTTGTTCTAAAACTGTATTTCAGAGAAGGTGACAACTTGCATTGCAATTCTGGAGGGAATTGCCTCACCAAGACTTCCTTAGTGAAATTACAAGTCTGGTAAAACACACACACACACACACACACACTCTCTCTCTCTCTCTCTCTCTCTCTCTCTCTCTCTCTCTCTCTCTCTCTCTCTCTCTCTCTCTCTCCCATAAAACAAAACAAAAACAAAAACAAACACCACCACCAACCACCCAGAAAGCTAAGACTCAGTGTCACAGACAAGATCACACAGCTACGCACAGTGACGGAGTGGGGATTCAAATCCAGGTCTTTTTGACTCTCAGGAAAGGCTAGGCAGAATCCCATGGACTAAATTCTATAGCTCAAGAGGCACAGAAACCTAAAGAAAGAAATTTTGGAGATAGAAACTATTCTAATGAGAAGGATAAAAAAGGAATCATTAAAGAGATTGACCTGGTTGCACACAGAATTCAACCAACTTACATTTTTTTTAAAAGACATATTCAGTGCTCATTTTGGCCACATATATACTAAAACTGTACGTAGAAGATTAGTATGGCCCTATGCAGTGATGGCACACGCAAATTTATGAAGTGTTCTATTTTTTTTTTAAGCTGTGTAGGAGTATAAGGACAGATGAGATAAATCCAAAAGGTTTGTGCAGTCTTATAAGAATAATATCACTTATGTCGGCAAGAAAGCTAAGGACGGTAAAAGACTTTTTAAAAAATGCTATATTGAGGAAAAGAAGAGTATCAAAGGAGAGATAACGTCGCTTCTCAGTCTTGGATGGGATGACAATAATTAACGATAGAGAAGCCGGAGATGCTCACCTCTTAAGTTGCTTCAGTTTTCTCAGCCAAGGAAAATAATCTTTGGACTGAAAGGAACAGAACAAAAATGGTGACTAGGGAGTTGAGACTCAAGATAAATGTTGAACCAATGAAAATATGTAATTACCCCTAATGAGTTCAAGTCACCTACCCCAAGATGAACTGCCTCCTTGGGTACTGAAAGAACTGGTGGATGTGATTACTGTAGCACTGTCAGAGATCTTCAAAAGGTTAAGGAAAAGAACTGCACCAGAGAATTGGAGAAGGAAAAATGTGCTGTTTTTCAAAGGAAAAAAAACACCACAGCTCACACTTGGAGCACTGTAATTAGTCTTTGATAGCTGACCAAGTTCTAAGCATTCCGCAGAACCTTCTTCAGCCACCCCTGTGGCTGATAGAACAAATTGTTCTCATCCACTAATTCTTCTGGGGGAAGTCTCTGAGTACTTGGGATAGAGGAGAATCGGTTGAAGGAACGGGGGATATTTAGCCTGGAGAAGAGAAGACAGGGAGTGGGGTTAGGTAGCAAGGGTCAAGTATTTGAAGGGCTGTCATGGTGAAAAAGGATCTTGTTCTGTTTGGTCCCAGAGGGGAGAACAAAGGGCAATGGGCAGAGATTGCAAATTTAGCCTAGATAGTAGGAAGAACTTCCAATTAGGCCTCCTCAAAGGCGGAATGGACTGACTGCCATGGGAGCTGGCGGGGTCTCTCGTTGTAGGTTTTCAAGTAGAGACTGAATGGCTGTTTGTTGAGTATATTGTAGACAGGATTCTTGTTCCAACATGGATTAGAAAAGATGGCCTTCCAGCTGAGATTCTATGATTTCGTGACGTCAAACTCAGAATTGAACTAAAAGCCTGAATACTAAAATAATGGACTTCAAGTTGGATCGCCACAAAAGCAAAAGAAAGAAGTGTCCTACAAAGAGCCAAGCCAACTGGAAAAGCTACAAGTAGACCAAAAGAGGGAAATAGCAAGCTTTATATAGCACTTTAAGGTTTGCAAAGCATTTACATGTATGTCTTATTCTATTCTCAGAACAACTCTGGGAGGTAGGGCAGATATGATGATCCCCACTTTACAGATGAGGAAAATGAGACTGAAATAAAGTAAATGACTTGCTAAAGGGTCCTACAGCCAGTAGTTAGGATTTGAACCAGATTTCCAGTTGAATCCAGTATTCTATCCACAATGCCAAGCTGCCCCTGCGGGAAAAAAGTCCACAGAACTAAGAAAATTCTAAATAAGGTTCTAAGAAGGGAGCTAAAATTTTCACTGGTCTGTATAATAATAACAGAATATTACACAATGCTGACATTGCTAAGAATCTACTAAATTCTGGTGCTCTAGGACAACTGTACCCTAAACTTGAAGCCCTGTGGACAATCACCTACCTGAACCCATTCCTCAGTGATTAACATCCTTCATGCCTGTGATTCTCAGCCCCAGGTGGCCATCATTCAAACTTATTCTCTATTCCTCACTGACCATTTCCTTATTTCCATCCCTCTCAACCGAACTGTATCCCCGACCACCACTACCAATGCAACCTCCCACTCTAAGCTACTCAACCCTTCTGCTGTGCTCAGTAGAATGCCTGATCCTAAGGAACAAACAGGATTTCACCTTAAACATTTTTTCTTTCTTGCTCCCTCCATCTTCTTGCACTCACTGAGACCTGGCTCCTTCCTAATGATACAGCTTCCCTGGCCACCCTTTCTAGCACTGGTTGCACTCATACCCCAACTCATTGGAAATGGTGGGGAATTCCATTGCTTCTTGCTCATCGTTGCCACTTCTAGCTCTGCTTCTACTACCATCTCTCAGTAACTCTCCTTCTTTGAGATTCTTTCAATCCATATTCATCCCCCAATCAAGACTCTGGTAGCTGTTGTCTACAGACCTCCAGTATACTCTCCTTTCCTCAATGAGTTCAGTGCCTGGTTCACAGTCTTTCTCTACTCCCCAACTCCTGCCCTCATATTGGGTGACTTCAACAGACACATTGATATTCCCTCAATCTAACCTCAGAGTTCCTCAACTTTCTCATTCTCCATGGGCGATCCCTCCATCCTACCACAATATGGTCATGCTCTTGATCTTGACCATCACCCACAAATGTACCATGTTCCTGAACTCTGAAATTCCTTTATCTGATTATAACCTATTGTCAGTCTCTCTCTCTCTGCCTTGCAATTCCAAACCCTGTTTTTCATTTTCTAGTCCCTGAAGCATTCAGTTTCTGTGCTGGCTACACTCTCTTCCCTTCCCCATCTAGAGCTCTACACCATTCTCTTCTCTCTAGTCCTTTGCCCCTTTATCCTTTTGAAGGTCTTTTTCCTCTAAACCCCAGCCTTGGATTACTTCCACCATCTGCTGCTTTTGCTCTTATTCACATGTTGCCGAACAAAGCTAAAAAAAATCATAAAACCATTGATTGGGTCTACTACAGGTCTGTTACATAATGCAACTGAGCCTTCACTAAGACAAAACAGTCCTTTTATAATTCCCTAATTAACTCACTGTCCCACTCACCACAGTGGTTTTTCCCTTTTTATCCTTCCTCAAACTTCCCATGGTTCCCCCTCCTCACACCATCTCAGCTGAGAACCTTGTGCCTTATTAA